GATGGACTTTTGTCTTTTTTCAGCCAGACTAACTATGTAACTAAAAAAACCCCACGAGTGGGCTGCACAATGACTGATCACTATGAAAGCCAATCAGCTGGGAGTCCTGTGTCCTGACCGCTAATACGAGACTTGAGGCTCTCACTGAGAGCCCGATTTCTGCACTGTGAGCATGCTCTGCATGTGGCCTCATGGATAAAGATCCACTTCTATGAGGCCGCATATATACACATATATGTACAGTCGGAGGGAAGGGGTTAAGTTCTCAGCTGTTTGTTGTTACTGGTCTAGTTCATTAGTGTGCTTGGATTAATATCCTTCTCCTGAAATATATATGTAGGTGTTCATTTCCTGTACTTAGTGTACTCCCTGTTAACTCTGAGAGAGACAGTGGGGGGTATTCAATAAAGGTGCTGCACTACATTTTCATTATTCCCATTTTAGCATTAATCCCTCTTGTTAATGTGCTTAATGTGCCAAATGAAGCATCTGCAACATTTTTGGTTCTGACAGCGATTCATGAGCTAAATTCAGGTAGTTCTAAAATGTGCCACATTTACATTGTGGAACAATACCTGCACCAAATTTAAAAAAACATACTCATAGTTTGTATCTCACGAAAGTGGAGCTAATTAAGACCAACTCTCTTTTGATGTACAGAAAGAGACCCTGGTACAGAAAGGTTTTGTAAAAATGTTTCATGTGCACTCTAAAAGTGGTACAGCCTGCACCAAATTTAAATACAATTCTAGACAAAAACATGAATTTGGCTATGCCAATTTTAGAGCATGCACGAGCCACTTTCACAAAATCTGTCTTTATGAATTCCAGGCAGTGAGTTCACTCACCTCAAACTCTGATAAAAAGCCAGTGAATATACCCATGAGAGTGGTGTCAAAGAACCAGTTGCTGTGTATTTACTAAAAATTCAGTATTTTAACAACCAAAATGGCAGCTGCTAACAACTCGAAGTGTTGCTAGTATTCACAGTAAAATTATTAATATTACCTATTTTTTTTTCATAGTACAATTTTTAATGCAGTGTTTATTTATTTACATATTTATTTTTTCTTGTTCAATATTTTTATTGAATATAATGAACCGGGTACATCATTGCACAATTCCATTTTGTATATGCTGCTATACAAACAAAATACAGTAAACAATGCACAACAGGTGTAAGATCAATAACAGCACAAAGAACAAATATAGGTTCAAGCAAAATGTTATAAATGTTATAAACAGAACAATTGCAAATGGACATCTCCGACTCACAGAGACAATCACGCTTTAGAGCTTCATAATACCAGAGATGTGATGCAGCTATCTTACTTATACAGTTCAGATAAGTAGTCAAGAAAGTAAGAAGGCAAAAGAAAAGTAGGGGAAGAGAAGGAAAACCAGGGGATCTGATAAGTGCACTGACGAAGCAGCAGCCAGTTTTTGGAATACTAGTGAGTATTTATGTGGATTTATAATCAAGGTTCCAGTAGTGATTGATCAAATTCTCATGTTAAGTAATTAAATGACTGATAATGAGTGGTATTGGAGTAAAGCCAGAATTAAATGTAATCGTGATCAGTAGAAACAAACAGAATGGCACTAATAGTAACAATGTTGTCCAAGATAAAAGGATTTTATTATCCACTTAAAAGTTAATAGAAACATAAGCCGAAGTTCTGTATCCAATGCAGATCATAGACAAAGTAAGTGATATAACCCATATGTCATGCTGTTGGCAATAAAATTGGCTTACTGCTGGAGATCCAGGATATGCCAGGCCAGGGTACAGGATGTGATGATTGAGAAATCCTATGGACCACTATACATGGTGCGTGGGTCGCCAGCTGTGAGATGGAGGTAACACTCAATGTGACAGGATGCAGCATCTGAGTCCCCTGAACTTGCGCAGAATTGACATCGGCACACACTGGAAGTGACATCAGTAGAGTGCAACAGCCGGCAGAGGACCATTGATAGTCAGATAGAAGAGCCAGGATGCATGAAAAATATATAAAACAGAATATTTCTGAACTTTGTAATTCATTACGCTCCTGTAGGGAGGCAAAAGAGTGAAAGGAGTCCATAACCAAGTGATGCCAAGTGCAGTCCAGTGACAAAAAGAAGCAGAGTTTATATGAGCCAGATAAAAAGATGGGTGTCTCAAAAAGGATAGGAGTGGGTTATGTGGGGATTGCAGTCAGTACAGAACCTTCAGCCTATCCCGATCTCTGGGAGTGAGCCAAATTAGGTTGCAGATGGCTAGAGGGTCAAAGTCAGCAGTTTCTAAGCTAATCCACAAGGGCACTTGCGTTGTGTGATATTGGACAATATGCATTACTAGGCTGTCTGCTAGTACTTAATATGGAAGACCCAAGCCACCTTTTAGCTTTGAACTCAAGACTGTCCTAGATCGATGTGGTTTAGTAGACCCCCATTTTGCTGACTTGACATTGAAAAATGCGCAGGTGATTGGGTGGTACTGCTACCGGCAGTATCCCGAACAAGTAAATAATGTAGGTAAAAGCATCATCTTGACTTCTGCTAACAGTCCTGTCCAGGATATGTGTAGGGAAGACCTACTGGCAGAAGTGAGGTCAAATGGGTAGGTATCATAGGATAATTGGCCTGATATAAAGGTGGGGAGTCAATTGGATAACCAGATACGGGAGGCAATGAGTGGCCTATTTGTAAAAGAAAGCAGATTGCAATTGAGTGTTAAACGTTATATTCAAAGCCTGAGATTTTTGCTGGTTCACCTCCAATCCAGAAATGGCCATGAATTGTTCTAAGGGTGGAATAGATTGGACGTCGAGGTGAGAGGTGTGCAGTAAGATAAAAAAAATATTGTCAGCCAATAAGCATAGCTTATGTTAATCGTCTGCCACATCGATACCTTGTATATTCAGGTTAAGAGCAAATTAAAGCTGCCAATGGCTCTATTGCAAGCGCAAAAAGGTGGGGAGAGAGGGTAGCCCATCTTGTTCGCCTACCTATGTTAAACCTGTCTGACTTTTAACCTGCATATTTAATTTAGGCATGGTTCTTTGAGTACAGAGAGAATATCCACATTAAGACATTTGGGTCAAAGCCCCACCTCTCGAAAAATATCAAAAGCCTTACACACGTCAAGGGATAGAAAATAAGTAGGTATATGGCGGCGGTGTCCTGTAAAGGCTAATACTGTAAGGAAGCTCTACAGATGTCATCAGCTGCCTGTCAGTTTAGGGTGAAACCAACTTTTTTATATTAAACTGCCAATAATAGGATTCAGCCAAAGCGTTAGGATTTTAGCTGGGTGAAGAGTTTAATGTCAAGGTTAAGTAGGTAGATTGGTCTGTAGTTGGACCAAGTTAAAGTGTTATTTTGGGGCCTGGGTATCATAGCATTATAGCTGTGAAAGTCTCTGAGTGGAATTAATGTTGGTCGAGTAAAGGGCTGAAACCTGGACATTTGTAGGGCTTAAAGATTGTAGTGGCTCATTTATTTTTAAATTTAATAAATGTTTGGGGCTCAATGAACAACATGCAGCTTCATAAAGGGGTCGATGGGTTGAAGAGTTTGAGGACCCCTGGTATAAATGACAATATGCTATTTGTGAAAATAAATGTTCAGTACTAACATGTGTATGATCAAAAAGATGAATAAAAGATAAATTCTATAGTAGAAATTCAGCACATAACCAGAGTAAAAGCATACAGTTTTTTTGTTTTCGTATGTAGAGATGCGACTAAAAGTGTGTATAGTAATATGTAAACATTTTAGGCCATATTAATATGAGTGCATCTGTGTTGTTGGAGCAATGTCCAGCAACGGTTGACCTGTTCTCCAAGCCTCTGGCACAAAGCAGAAATCTTTGGGCAGTATCCAACCACTGGTATAAATCTAGAGATAGGCTTACTTCCGACTACCATAACATTAGAATTAAGCAAAATGGAAAAATGTTAGAAAGAAGTTCACTTCACAGATAAAATCACTTATAACTTTGTCAAATGTTGCGTAAAGAACAAAAAACAATGGGCAATCATTATGCTATTGTTTAAGAAATCAGCTTTGACCTTCCAAAATTCATTTTCCTTTGTTCTGTATGTCAGCAAAAGGTGATGGTGACCAAGCGGTTAGTTGTAAAACTGTTCGCCACTTAGATAAAGATTAATAGGTTAGAGATATTTGATATTATTATACAGCAACCAAGTCACACAACCATTTTCAGCAATCTTTCCATCCTCGCATTAAATATGGTTCTTCGTGGCCTTTTTCAAGTAACTTTGCTGCAGCAAGTCCTTCTGAGTTTTGTTGGTGGGCTCTTCCTGTACTTCATCGCAAGTGAAATTTACCAAGCTCTAAAAGAAAAAAATGAAAATTTATCAGAAATGTTACTACCTTCTGCAAAAATCAACTGCCTCAAAACTATCAAAGGAGACATTGAAGAAAAAAAAGATGCACATTTACAAAATTTCAATAGAAGGAAAAGTAAGACACCATTATCTGAAGATTACTTTCTGAATATTACTAAGGACTGTAAATGCTACAGAACCATCAGAAAGTTTATTTCCTTTTCAATGAGCAAGGAAGAAGAGGAATTTCCCATTGCCTACTCTATGGTGATCCACGAAAAGATTGAAATATTTGAGCGCCTTTTAAGATCAATTTATGCCTCTCAGAATATTTATTGTGTTCATGTAGATGAAAAATCTCCAGAGCCTTTTAAGAAGGCTGTGCAAAGTATCGTTTCATGCTTTAGTAATGTTTTTGTGGCATCTAAGTTGGAAAGGGTGGTCTATGCTTCATGGTCAAGAGTTCAGGCTGATCTCAACTGCATGGAGGACCTCATGAAAAGTAATGTTCAATGGAAATACTTTTTAAATACATGTGGAATGGACTTCCCTCTGAAGACTAATGCTGAAATTGTGAAAGCTCTAAAGTTATTAAATGGGAAAAATAATCTTGAATCCATCCAAGCGCCTCCAAATAAATCAAGATGGGTTTTCCACCATGAGGTGCAAACATCTGTTATTAGAACCTACAAAAGAAAAACCTTACCACCAATCAGAATCCCAATGTATTTAGGCAGTGCTTATGTTGTGGTCACCAGAGATTTTGTGAAGTACATACATGAAAATGTAGAAATTCAAAAATTCTTTAGATCGGCTGAAGATACTTATCACCCGGATGAGCATGTATGGGCAACAATAAACTGCATGCCTGAAGTACCTGGATCTATACCCTATAATACGAAATTTGATGTTTGAGACGTGCATTCAATTGCAAGGCTGGTTAAATTGGCACACAATGAAGGAAATGTATTTAAAGGGTCTTCATACCCACCATGCACTGGAGCTCACCAACGTTTCATTTGCATCTATGGATTTGGAGATTTACTGTGGTTGCTAAGAAAACATCATCTCTTTGCCCATAAATTTGACCCTGCAGTGGATGATATGGTAATACAATGCCTAGAAGAACATCTGAGGTATAAATCTCTATACAAGACTGAGAAGTAATTTCATACAAGTACTGAGCAGTTTATCCTTTACAAACACAAAAACAAAAAATACCTAATGATACAGCATGTGTGTTTGGGTTTTTTTATATTTGGAACAGAGCTTTTTGTAGGGATTTTCTATTTCTATTTGTTAAAGGCTTCCAAACGCATCAAAATAATTTTACCCAATGTATAAAGAACAACAAAAGTCGTGAAACAGCTACAAAAAAAAAACTAATTTTGCACAAATCCATATCAGGCATTAGTGATAATTACTTAACCAGTTACTAGCAATTCCTCAGTTTAGAAATGTTATTAGTAAGACTTGGAAAGGATGAGTAGCGAATGTGAAACACTGTAGTAGTGCTCTATGATGAGCAACATGCTGTGATCTCAAAAGACCTTGCAAAAATGAAGGATGGTGGCACACAATTAAAACAAATATTTACCATGACCATTTAGGCATCAAAGTATGGACTCCTCAACTTTACATATGCTAAGCATCGAGCATAGGACAGCTGCTGTCTGACATTTTTGATCTTAGGCTCCATGCACACTAGCATTTTTCTTAGCTTCTAAAAGCTGTTATTAGCAATTTGTCTCTGTACCTAGAAGCTAAATAGTGTTATCCTATGTTTCCATGCATAGTGCTTTATGCTATTAGCATTTTTTGAGCTTCAGCATTTAGGAGCAGAAAAAAATTTTTTTGTAGAGTTTTTTGGAGCGTTTTTCCAGCAGAAAAAAAAATCCAAAGGCTCCTAAACACTGTTCAATTCTATTAAAATGCTCATAACAGCTTTTTTCTAGCTTTTTTTTTCTCTACATGTACTGAAAAATTGCTAATAAAATGCTAATGCTCCTAAATGCTTCTGAGAGCTACTAAAATGCTACTAAACCACTACTATTAGCCAGCTATTACCAGCATTTTTTATCCAGCGTTTTTTGAGCTTTAAAAAAATCGATAGTGTGCATAGAGCCTTAAAGTGGAAGAGAAGCCAAAAGTCTAACTATTCTAAAAATATTACCTCCCCCTCCTTCTACCTATTCTGTTTACCCTGTATAAAATGATGTGTGCACTCTTTTTATAGAGCTCCAGTCCAATCAAGTGATCCTGCAGTTCTGACTCATGCAGTCTTATACAATGGCTGCAAATTCTGGAAGTGGTGAAATCACCCAAAGGCTCACACAACACCCATGACTGTCTAAATACGTAAACATATACTGCATTTGATAGGATGTAGCCAATTTTCAGGAAATAATTTTCCACCCTGCTCTTTTGATTTTAAATCAAAGTTTGAAGAGACAGTGGTGCTGAGCCCTGTATGGCCAGATTAGGAAGTGGTTAGGGGCAAGGTACATTCTGTTGCAGTGCTACTTTGAAGCATCTGAGAAAATAATCTATGAATCCGCCTTGTGGGCAATCTATCTCATAATCTCTCTTTACTGCTTCTGTTTAGCATTGCCTTGCTGAGCAAAATAATTAAGAAATGCCCCCCTGTGTATCTTAAAACATATATCTACATCTAATATCCGTTTAACCACTTCAGTACCGGGCAGTTTTATGCCCTTCCTGCCCAGGCCAATTTTCAGCTTTCAGCGCTCTTGCACTTTGAATGACAAATTCAAAATTATATTTTGAAAAAAAACTCAATTTTTTCTTCGTTTCTGTTAAAAAATTTTGCAAATAAATAATTGTTCTTCATAAATTTATGCCAAGATGTATTTTGCGGCATTTCTTTGGTAAAAAAAATCAATATTTATTATTTAGTCTGTAGGAAAGTTATAGAGTCCACAAACTATGGTATATATCTGAAAATCGAGCAATCCTGATTTTGGCCAATCTAATTTCTTGAGGCCCAAAAGTATCAGGACAGTACAGATATGCCCCTAAATGTACACTTTTTGCAAAGTAGACAGTCCGAGGAATTTGGTAAGAGGCATGGTAAGTTTTTTGAAGTTGTAATTTTTTGTCATACTTTTTTGGAAAATTAAGGAATTAAAAAAAAGTTTCCCAATTTTCTTTTTTTTTTACATACTGTCACCAGTGCAGTATAGTGTCATCATAGAACTGGTGTGGCAGTAATCAGGGACACTGACTGGTGACAGCACGAAAAAAAAAATTGTTTTTTTTTAATTTGTTTATTATTTTTTTGGTTATCTTGGTTATTAATTAATTATTTTTTTTTTACGATTTTCTTTCCCTAACACACTGAGAGCAGAGTAGTATAATGTTACCATAGTAACATTTTACTACTCTGTGGAAGTGATCAGTATTTTTTTTTTAACATTGCATTTTATTATTGCTTATAGCAAAGAATTTTGTTGCTATAAGCAAGCATTTAACTGAATGAAATTGATTAATTCAGTTTTTTTGTTGTGATTAGCTATGATTGGCCACAGCTAATCACATGACACAGATGGGCTGTGATTGGCCCAGTCTGTACATGTGATTACTATGAGCAATCACAGCTAGTGACATAATTGTATACAATGGATGGCAAGGAAGCCATCCATTGTTTACAATTGTCATGTGACCTCTGTCATTGGTCACAGCGGTCACATGGTACTGTCAACAGGCCAATAAACAGATCTGTCATCCGAGGGACACAGACAGTGACAGATCTCGCCACAGTCTAGCTCCACGGCATGTGCAAGTCGTGATCCTGGAGAACGTCATATGACGCCCATCCAGATCGACCATCATTTTGCTGTTTGGCTGGGCGGGAGATGGTTACATCATTTGTTTGGGCCAAGCTGGCCCAATTTAATTATTTAATACACTAAAAGGTGTGTTTGCTGTGTATGCTGTGTTAAAGGATGTCATGTCACATGTTCTACCCATTTTTAGGGTGGAACATGTAACACCCCCCTGATCCGCCGCCTGTAGTGACAGCAAGCTGTGGATCCTATCTCCGAACTCGCTGTTCACAGAGTTCTGTGAATGTGAAAACTAAAACTACTGACTGTCAGCCATTTCAGCTGATGGCTTATAATTTTCAATGAACTACCAGAGTGCTGGAGATCCTGTCATTGTGTAACTGCCTGTCCATAAGAGGTACAAGCAGACAGCTTACACTGACAGTCTGTAGGAACCATGCATTGCACCTGAGATCTGCTGATTGCAGGTGCAATGCTTTACAGGCTCCTAATAAAAAAATAGTAAATGCGCATTTTTTTTTACCTGCAAAAAGATGTGCATGTATTACTTTTTTTTTAAAAAGGTGAAGTTATCCTTTAACTGTATGTAACATCAGTGCAACAGGAGCTTACCGTCCTACTCTGGAAACAAAATGTCAGGTTGAGCGCTGCTCAGGTATTCATGGGAAGCTTTGTATTCTATGTATGAATACAAAGCTTCCTCAAACTGGCTGATGCAGAGATCAAGATGCCATATGCCCACCTCAGTCAATCAGAGGAAGCTTTGCAAGGCTTCTTGTGAATGGTTGAGAGACAGCACTAGGTCTGATGAGGATGGGATGATCCCATTGTGCTGATAGAACATAGCACTGTATACTGTACACACTCTCAGCTACATACAGTTGTTACAGTGCATCCAGCAAGCATACCGGTGCAGTAAATAGTTTGCTTAGAACAGCTTGGCCCAAGGGAACTATTTAAAATAACATTCTACGTGGAGTTGGCATTAAACAACTTATATTTTTTTAAACACCGTTTTCACCTTTTTAAGCTGGTATTTTTAAAAGGAACTCAGTAATGGCATAATTTTTCTCCATGGTTCATTTACTTTATAGGCCACAGATCAGTATATCACAGCTCCAAAACACTAGGTTGCTATAATTAATTCAAGATCTCTATTTATTGGCTCTCTTTTCTTAGACTGTCCTGTTGTGATATGAAGTGTCTATAACCCACAGCTACTGGAAACACCAGTGCATCAATCTGCAGGTGATATTCATACTAGAACTTACATTCTTTATGACTAAGAAATTAAATATGCAGTGCATGCTTCAGTGATTAACCGGAACCTTTCCCTGTATAATACCTGTTTCTGACCATGATGACCCACACTGAAAGAACATTAACCCCTGGTATACTAAGGTACATTTACAAATGCTGTGATATTTAAGGGGTTAAATCAAGCTTAACAGGGGCGTGGCCAGGCAATGGAGCAGGACGGCGGCTGATTTTGGAGCTCCTGCTGCCCACCGATATTAAGCTCAGCACACAGTCAGCTCAGCAGCCTGACCCTACCAGCGGTGATGCCGCAGAAGAAAGGGGACTCAGAGCATTCATCAGACCTTTCCACAAAAACTCGGAAGGGCAGCATTGTCCCCTTCCTCACAGGGCCACAGGCGGGAGATTCAGCCGGCGCCATTTTAGAGGAGCCTTTCCATTCACCCCTATCTGAAGATCCGCCTGCGATCCCTTGGAAAGTTCTGGATATGGAGGCCATGCTGCAGGGTGAGTCACAGTCTCCCTCACCATCCTCCCTGCCCACACAGGGACATGGCAAAGCCCAGGGCAACAATCCCCGCATCCCCAGTATCCCTGCTGGGACCTGAAAAATATCTTAGTGAACTCCCCACTAAGCTGATCTTGCAGTTTTCTTCAAACAGATTGAAGATACTTACAAAGCAGGCCTCCAAGAACTCAAAACTGACACTATGCTGATAGGCTCACGGGTTGAAGTCCTTGAAACACTACAAAGTGAGTCCACAAATGCAATCCTCTCCCTGCAGAAGGGATTGTATCAACAAGATCTCAATATTGAGGATTTGCTTTCACAACTTGATTATTACAAAAACA